GGGGGGGGGTGTTAAAAGAAAATAAGACCCGGTCTTATTTTTGGGGAAATACAGTATTACTGAACTTGGAAGTGTATTAGCTTAATCCTTATAGGTGAATTTAAAACTGTTAGAATGTTTTAATCTCTTCATCCCATACAACCTTCTGCACCCTCCTCTCTACCCTAAGAAGCCTTTATGAAAGATTGGGATATGGGATAAAACTGCTGCTGTGGACAGAACAGAAAATCTAAAATTGGATCACTCTTGCACTGATCTCATAATATTTAGAGGAATGTCCCAACCATCTCTGAAGGGTGTTCAGGATCACAATAATCAGAAAAGGCAATTTAGTCTTTAATCTACAAAAGTTCCTATTTTATATTACTATTGTAAGCAGTTGCATCTAACCTTATCCCAGTTGTTTTTCCGTGTGCATTATAAGATCTATCTGATATTCTAGACAGATACCCACTCTTGTTTTCTGAAAATAGGAAAATGAAATATTCCCAATCCATGGGAATGGCTAATCTCCAACGTCCATGATGTCCCATTTCTGTTTTGCCTTCATTCTCTGTCTTTCAGTTTTCATTATTAAAATTCACACATGTTCATACCTATTTTAGACTATGGCTTAATAGTCTAATACCTATTTTAGACTATGGCTAACATCAGAAAGATGTTAGGTGCATTTTTTTTCATCTTTTAAATTTTCTGTATTAAGCCATACTCTAAATCACTTTTATGCTTGGATTTGGGCATGACACAGTGTTGGGCATGACACAGTGTTGAATGCTTGCGGTACACAAATATTCTAATATCAGATTCTAGAATTACATTTCATAGACCCCCTTGATCTCTTCTTGTTATATCAGAGTTTAATTTAGAACTAGTTCAGGCCTCCTGATCTGTTCTTTTATCTGATTAAGTGCTGAACTCTTGCTGGTGAGTATTGAAGTACATTTGACTTCTCTTCTAAAGTTATACGTTTTTATTTTTATATCGCTTGACAGGGTGGTGCCCCAGAAGAAAGTTACAAAGAAGGAACCCTTGTATCTTGGGATAGGTAAGAAAAGTGATAGAATATAAAATCATTCCACTTAAAATAAATTAAAGTATGAAAAAACCACTGTGTTTAATTTTATTACAATAGCAATAGCACTTAGACTTACAGTATTGTGCAAAGGTTTTAGGCAGGTGTGAAAAAATGCTGTAAACAAAGAATGCTTTCAGAAATATAAATAAGGATTGTTTATTTTTGTCA